GAGATAAATAATAAAAGTAGAAAATAGCTAGTTAATCAACTACTGGTAATAGCTGAAATGAGCAAAATGCTAGCTTAGTAATAAAAGACAAGCTGAAAGATAAACATTGCAAAAGGCCAGCTAAAAGTTGCAAGTTTCTAGCTAATATATAAAAATAGCTAAATGACTAGCTAAAACTAGCCAAAGGCTAGGTAAAAGTAGCATGATGTTTCTCTAAAGCTAAAACTATCAAGGTGCTAAAAAATGATGAGAGTTGCAAACAGCTAATTGCTATCTAGTAGCTAAAAATTGAAAAAAAAAAATGCAAGCTTATAGATGCAAAATGCTAGCCATGAAGCAAAAGACAAGCTGAAAGCTAAAATAGCAAAAGGATGGCGAAAAGCTAAATGTTGTAAATTGGTTGTTCAAAAATAAAAATAGCTAAATCTCTAGCTAAAAGAAGCAAAAGGTAAGAAAACATCAGCAAAAAGCCAGAGTGCATCAGCTAAAGACAAAATAAATCAAATATGCTGAAGATTTAATTAGATAACTTTAGACTGATTTGYAAACATCTTGAAGTATTTCAGTGATTTTGCAAATAAGGTTGAAGGTTCTGAAAAAAATACAAAAAATACAAAAAACAAAAGTCACAGCATCCACCCCCTGATTAAAGTTAACATTTTTAACATATTAAAGTTAAAGTGTGAAGTAGTCAAAAAATGTAGGGGGAAATGAATTTAGGAATAATAAAGAGAAATAGGACATTAATATAAATTGCATTTTCCCACAAAATAAAAATATTTATCTTGATAATGAAGTTTGGGTTAAAAAGTGTTCAGATATTTTGATTTATGACTGTTTTCTGTGAATCACTGCAGCTCATCTAGAGAATAAAAACACCTTGGACAGCTCCCGGTCTGCAGGTCYAGTTTAGTCCACGGATCTGGGCCTCTGTTTACACTCAGTCACACCGACCTGCTGGGCATCATCACTCACCTAAAGCCTGCGTGGAACATGATCCTGGGGCCTCCGGTGTAGTATTTACTGGAGCCGAAGAGGCTGTCCTTCCTCAGAGACACGTAGCTGATGAGGGACAGGATGAGCACGACGACGCTCAGGATGATCAAACCCAGGGCCTTGGCGATGCGGACCATCTTGGGTCTGTTTTCATCCCCGGTGCGCAGCCAGGACTCGCTTTATGTTGTCATGTCCGGGGCTTTAACCCACAAACTCGTCGACTCATGGAACCGCGGGAAATGGACGCTCCGTGGGCTGCATGATGATGATGATGATGATGATGATGATGATGATGATGATGATGATGATGATGATGATGATGATGATGGAGATGTTCGGTCCGCTCTCATTCCTCCGCTCTGCTGCTTCTCTTCCAGACTGCAGGTTTAATCATGAGCAGAAATATGTGTCAACATCCAGACAGCAGCATCACCTCCTCCTCCTCCTCCTCTTCCTCCTCCTCGTCCTCCTCCTCCTCTCTCTGACGGATGCAGGCTCCTCTGCTGCAGCACAAAGGAGGAGGGGCGCAGAAAGATGAAGAAAACACCCCCAACAGGAAGCACGAGACCTTTTTTGGGAACAGAATGTTGCCCCATTTTTGACTTTATCTATCTATCTATCTATCTATCTATCTATCTATCTATCTATCTATCTATCTATCTATCTATCTATCTATCTATCTGTTTATTTGTTTGTTTATGTTTTGTTTTGGGCTAGATGAGAGCATTAAAACCCTTTTTACATTGATGGTGTTTTCTATATATTAGCTGCCTGTCGGAGGCATTAATGAACCCCTATAGCATCAACGAGGCTGACTTATGAACTGCGCAGCATCGTTCGTAGCCGGCAGGGGCCAGTACTGCTATAACAGGCTGACAATTTTCAATGTCATTGTCAAATTTATTTATATGTACATTTATAACATGTTAAAAACAACAAAAGTTGACCTAACAATTCAGCCAAAGACATGTTAAACAGTTAAAATAAAATACAAAAACGCACAATACAAAAATAAATAAATAAATAAAAAACATTAGCTCTAATTGAACCTTTTTGGTTTTTTATTTTACTGCATATAGATTGTTTTGTTATATGAATGAAATAAATTGAACAAATAAAAAAAAAATAAACAGCCTTGAACTCTGCACCAATCAAAGGCAAAAGAAAAGAGATGGGTCTTTAGTAAGGATTTAAAAGCCTCAACAGTCTAACAGATCACATAAAATATGAAAAACTTTAAAAGCAGGACTGTCGTAACTGGRAAAAAAAAACTTKTGTCAACCAGGTTTTTATGTMATTTTAGACAACTGAAGAGTGCTTCCAGTGGAGTGTGACCCTGTCTAACTTAATGGGCATATAAACCTGGGTATCATCAGCAAAKAAATAAAAAMRTGATRTTATATTTTCTGAAAATGGACCCCAAAGGCAACATATAGAGATTAAAAAGGAGTGGACCTAAAATGGACCCTTGAGAGACCCCACAAATCTGAGGAGCTGCTGAAGAACATTTGCCAATAGAAAAACTGCTGTTGGTAGATAAAACTGTACTTTTGTTACGACTGACTGAAAACATTAAGTACTGAGGGAGTAAATGCAACAGCTCAGTTTAAAATCAATCAACAAAAATACAATTATTAAGTTTGTCTCAGTCCGGTCTAAATGAGCTTTGCTTCCAAGATGACGTTTACACTTCTTTGCACGATAGAGCTTTAATATGCATTCACAGCCATCATTGTTGTGTTTACAAATGATTGATTTGATTTATTTATTTAACAGGAAAAGATTACTAAAAATCAAGCCTGACTCAGCATAATTGCTGTTTTACAGCAGGTTCCTGTTCTGCAGCACATAAAACACTCAGAATTACAGCATCACTATGGTGTAATCATTATTATTACACCATAGACACAAAGACAAACAAGCATACCAAATTTCAAAAATTTAAAAGAAAAAAGATTTATTGAGGTATTCCTGAACATCTGCTGTGATGTTCAGTACAGAATCAAGACCCTTTTAAATAATGGCATTTTAGTAAATACAAGCAAAGAAAAGCAACAATAAAACGTTTTTAAAATTATTATTTTTATTTATATGAGTTATTTTTTTGTTTTTCTTACATATTACACATAAAATCTTGTTTTTTTTTTCCTTTTTTACATGTTATTTACATTTTTAAATCTGTTTTTTTTTTTTTTTCATTTCACAGTAAGCTTATCTCGGTAAACAAGACAACATGCATAATCACATAATTTAATGTCCATGCATTTACAGTTTCCCACTAAACATGTCATATATAACACATGAGAATATTGATCCATTGATATGCATAATACTGGTATCAAGTATTTAAAAAAACTACAAAATATTCAGAATGTTTGAGTATGTTAGCTGGTACTGAACACATTCTTCGGTTCTTCTTTGTGCTATTTCTATTTCTACTAAAACGTGTCAAACACAAAGAGAACTTGGAAAAATACATGAAGTTGTATTAATATCAAGCTGCCAAGAGTATTGCGTTTTTTCCATACTGCATCATTAAGATGTTTTTCATTGCAGAAGCAGACAACAAACTGATTAAACACAGGCACTTTATAATAAAAAAATCAGTCACTTTGCATTTATGATAAAGACACACAAAGTACACAAGTTTCCCCTGAAGTCATACGATTCAGGGGAAAATTACACATCTGTTACTTTGTAACGCACAGCAGTCACTCCACACAGTCGAGGAACGTGGAAGGAAAGAACGCTCCTTCACCGTCACTTCCCAACGAGCCACATGGACTTTCTTCTCCACTGCTCATGTCCTCACAGGAGTCCTCGCTGTAAGGCACAAAAATAAAAATTAAAAAAAAGGGAGGGGGGAGAATGTTACCAAGTACCGAGGTAAAGAGGTCCGCCCAAGCATCCAAATATTATGACATTTACTACTAAACACAAAGGATTTAGTAGCAGAACAAGAGGCTTTTTTTAAAAAGATGTCAGATTTGAGAGAAATGAAAAAAGTAGGGGTGCAACAATACATGTACTCGTATCGAACCGTTCAATACAGTGCTTTGGGTTCAATACACACTATGTATGGAACAATAAATTTTTTAAATTTATGTCTTCTGAAGATGCTCTGTGTTAAAGGATCAGTGGATCTGTGTTCGACTACTCCACCTAGGCTGCATTGTCGAGCACAGATCCACAGAGAAACTTGCTGTTTCAGCAACATTTAATTTAAAAACTGTACTTTTGAGGTTAAACAAATGTTCAGAATTAATTTCAACAAATTACAAGTTAAAAAGGCTTGGACATTTCTTTTTTTGTATCGAAAAAATATCGAACCGTGAGACTAAAGTATGGAACTGAACCGAATCGTGAATTTTCTGTATCGTTGCACCCCTAGAAAAAAGATTTTAAAAAAATTAAATTAAAAAAACTGAAGCAAAAACCTCTACCCTAAAAACCAAATCAAACTGCAGATTTTGTGAACCGTTCCACTCTAGTTTATTAATACAAAAGCAGCATTGAGGAACCTGAAACTAATTATTGACCTCTCGCTCTCGTCCCAGCTCATCTCAGGAATGGTTGGAAGGCCGGGCGCGCTCAAGTGACGGGTCTGAAGACTCTGAGCTGTCCTCCTGGACAGGATCCAGACGAGTTTCTTGTTGTCTGGTTTGTTGCATTCACTGGAGCGGTACTCAGTCATGCACTTGGTCACGAGCTCCTTCCAGTGGAGCAGCTTGCCGTCGCTGATCTGTGAAAGACGGCAGACGGGAAACATCTGAGAGGCGGCTGCTGTGAGCACATCAAGTGTTTGTTCTTTCCACAGCTTGTGGTCAGGCGGGATTAACGACACTCTGAACAAATTCAATCCCAATCTAGTCTAAAAATACTGAAGCAAAAGATTATTTTCATCCAGACAAAACATACCTTTAAGTGTCTTTGGAATTGCTGGACAAGCTTCAACAACGTCATGGACTGAAGGGATTCAAACTCTTGAGCAATCAGGGACAAAGCCAACACTGACGGCTGTAAACAAGGAAAATAAAAGGATCAATTAGATCCAAGACTCACAGCAGAGGCTGCAATGCTGACAATTTGTCACCCGGGAGTATTTACTTTTGCTTTGGAGAAAACAAGACGACATAAGCAGGCTTTTAGCTGGGCTTCCAGTCTCCCGATGCTCGGGATCTCTTCCCTTAAAACATAGAGGGAATCCTACTAGTACAGATCTCACCAGGCTGTCAGACCAGCTCCGCAGAGACTGGAGCGGTCGCAATAAGAACAGGAAGTGACAAGAARACGAGGCGTTTACCTTCCTGCGTTCAGGGAGCTGACAGCTGAGTAGTAGAGGTGCAGAAAGGTCAGGGCCGTCACAGCTTTGGGCTCCACGCAGAGTTTCTCCAKAATGATTTTCTCCATGCGGCCGAGGTCGGACACGGTGAACTTGCTTTGGCTGATGCGGATGAGCTCGTGCGAGGGAGAGATGTCGCTCTCTTCCTCGAACATTTTGGCAGCAATGTGAAGACAGCACACGCCGATGCAGGGCACGTGTTTGGGCTGGACCTGTCACAGCGCCAGAGAAAGGATGACGTCAACAACCTGGGGTTCTACAAACTCAAAGATTACCTGCAATTTAGCTCAATATATTAGTGAGCTAAATTACTAAAATAAAAAGGGGAGTGAAGCAGACTTCGATAATAACATGAATTAATGTCTATTTAAATTAAAATGAGGCTAGAGAAAGTATGTTAAGACTTTAACTTTTCCAAATGCTCTCAGATCCTCAGACAGACAGTTTGAGTTCAATATCTTGGAGCTGCAGGGTCATACTCCTGCACGTTGGACCAACTAAAAGTGGCATAGTGACTCAAAAATGAGAAAGTTGAAAAAAATAAAAAATAAGAATTTTCGGTTGCAGTCTCAGCAAATTCTGAGTGTTTGCCATTAAGCAACCAGCGAGCACTGTGGCTGCATTTTCAACCTGCAAATACTAGAAAATCAAGGCTTACTGTTGTGTGCACAAGTTGCAAAATTGTATTCTTTGCCATGCACATTATTTTGTTGCAGAACTTTGTTACTGTTTCAACAGTAACAAAGATGTGATTTTAAACATGCACAGGGTTCCCACACCTTGGTCAACATCAAATTCAAGGACCTTTCAAGGACTTTCCAGCACCAATTTCCTCAAATTAAAGAACCACGCGCAACGGCAAGTACCTACTGCTACCACAGTATGTTACCAATGAACAGGTTTAATATCATGTAAATTCAATGAAAAACGGAACAAAGAATTTGTTGAGTCCGAAACAATGACACACAATCCACATTGTTGTGTACATTGTTATCCAATGTACCTTTTTTTAAATTTTATAATTTATTTTTTAAAAAGATGATGAAAATCAGTCGTGTAAATAGAGAATTTCAATCCCCAAAAAACACTCAAGGACTTTCAAGGACAAATGTAATTTTTGGCTGTTTTCACAAACTTTCCAGAGCCTTAAAATTATTATTTTTTTCTAATTCACAAACTTTCAAGGATTTCAAGGAACCGTGGGAACCCTGCATGCAAACACGTACCCTAATGTTTAAAAGGAAATGAATGCATCCAAATATATCCAGCTTGAATACTTACCTTCATGTTGGTGAGAAATCTGTCGAGCAAATTGACAGCTTGGACAAAAGTCTGAGTCCTGTAGCCAAAGAAATTAGTCAGACTCCACAGTTCTTCCACCCTACTGTCTCTGCATTTTGCAGAAACTCCAGAGTGAACCTAAAAAACAWCAACAACCATTTGTAGGAAGTTATTTTGGAAGCAACACACACATAAGTTWGCACCAAGAGGCAGATAAGTGGGTCACCTCTGGGGCTGTGGACTCCATCAACTTCAGGCCCGTTTCTCTGGGAAGAAAGTTGTCCTCTTCTGCACAGCATGACTTCAGCTCCTTCAAGAGCAAGCTGTCAACACCCTGAAGATCCCTCATCCTGAAGAACAACACATTTAAACGGATTAACACAATTTTAAATCAAAGAAAATATCTCACTGATAAGAACCCCKAAAAAACAGACCAATGAGAGGAGAATGTATAAAAGTTTGGTCTCAAACCACACCTAAAGGGTGTCAGATAATCAGTAACATTCAYCTCCTACAACCAACAAACTAACAAACCCTGTTTATTAAGGGATTATAGCGAATGTACTGAGTCAGGGTTTCAAAATATGCTAAAACAAAGCATACATTAAAAAAATTATAATAAAGTTGTTTACATGATTTATCAACATCCACTGAAAGTAGGTCACACAAACAATAGGGCACTGAAGAACAGGCTGAACTCAACAAGGTCTTCATAATACAAAATCTAAATGTTCAAATATTTTTTAAGTAAAATATAATTCTTACTTACAATTCTTACTTATATATAATTCTTACTTAAACGACGACGTTAAAATTAAAATACATTTTTAAGCTAATTTTAGCTTGGTTGCTACCGTGTATGCCTGTGAACGAGCCGGCTTGTTACCTCGTCCGGAAGCTGCCGGCTTGCAGAAAAACAGCTCTGCCACTGAATCACAGCGTTCACTTCTCCATTACTACATTTTGTTCGCCACCGTGGAAATAAATGTTGCTAAAAATCAAGACGCTCCGCTCCGTGGGAAAGCGACATCAAAGCGAGTCCGACAAAAACCGACTATAAACTACATTACCCATCATGCAACGCTAGAGGCTTTACGTGCTTGCGTCCCTTTGCGGATGTTGACGCACTACTGTTTCAAAAGTTTCAGTGGCGCTAATGGCGCTGATAGCGCTCTGCACTGAAATTTAGCTCGAATTGTTTGGGTCAGAACCAGGCAACTTTCGTTACCTCTGACTTTTTCGACTCGCTTAATTAGTTTGACGACATTTAGGTTCTTTTTACGTTCCGCGTAGCTCCGGATGCTGTTTCCATGGTGATGGAACTTTCTGTTTACGGCGGCTGCCAATTGTTAGCTTATTATTTTTTTTAATCGTGTGTGTTTTTTAAATTAATTTGAGTGATGTCTTCGGGATTACAGCCCTTTGAGCCTCAGAGTGTCGGATTAGCTGGTCATGAAGAAGTTTCTCGTCACAAACAAGCTGAAGCTGGTGAGCTAGCTAAGGTTGTTGAGTTAGTTTTCACATGATTATGCTAAATCAAATGCTAACTTGAAACGCTTCCCCCCCCCCCCCCTCTCCCTCTCTCCAAGAAGCTCAAAGGACCTCCTTTCATCTGAGATTCAACAATCTGACTCTGGATGAACTGAGGTAACCCAAAGTTACTTCAATCAAACAAACAGAGGCATCGATTTTTATTTCACGCTTGAATTATGTTGAGGAAAAATATGCATCTTGCATACACATAATAAGTTGGTTGATGCTGGGTAACTGTCTTCTTTATGCATAAATAAAGAAAACTTCCAACAAAAAGTGATCATCTTAAACAAACAAAATCAAATAAATGGCCCAAATGCAGAAGCAGATGGAAAACTGTTATCATCTGCCTGACTCTTCCCAAAACAACTGATTACAGATTTGGCTCTCCAACATGGCCTTGAGCTGTTGACTAAATTCTTCCTGGTTGTATTACGTGGGCTGAGACACGCACGCACGTCTGTGATCTGGTTCCTGGAGCAAGCTGAGGGCTGCCCAGAATGAACAGTTACCATCCATATACTGGACTATGGCTGCATGGGTTTTGGGGACTCGATTCTTCAGGCTCATTGGGCCTCATGCAAGAACATTTTCGTATTCTTTTCCTAAATTTCTCTTACTTTAGTTCGTACGAACATGCCACGTCAGATTCAACAAACTCTTCAGGAAAAGTGTGTAAATGAGCTGCGTAAATTCCACCTGTTCGGATCCAGCTGCTCGTGCACGCGAGAGGAGATTAGCATAATTACCACCCCAAAAACACCATATAAGGCTATGTTTCCTGCCCCAGATATCAGGAAGTGTCCATTCATGAAAATGACWGCGTAAACTAAAAAGAAGAACTTTACAAGTTCAGAGATTGAAGTCCGTCTGTCAGAGATCCAGAAAAGAAAATCTGTTATTTTTAGCAGGTCAGCTGTGGAATAAAAAGAGCTGCTAAAAGTATAAACAACTGTGTTAAATCATTTTCATTTATTCAGAAGACACAGCGCTGCACACCGTACACCCCCGGTTGCAGGTGGTCTCAGATGTGGGTTTGAAATAAGCATTTTAAAATGTTTTCAAAATAAGTCTGGCACTTTGGAGGAAACCCAGGACTCGCTGGAGGGATTATGTATCCCATCTGGCCTGGGAATGTCTCGGAGTCCCCCAGGATGAGCTGGAAAGTGTCTCTGGGGAGAGGGAAGTCTGGGTCTCTCTGCTGCTGCCCCCGCACCCGATCCCGGATAAGCCGGCTGGACGGACAATTTATATTGTTAGTCTAAATTATTACATTTTAAATTACTCTAATTCAAGCAGAATAGCCTATTGTCAACATAATTATGGAGTGTAATTTATTTTCAACTCAAAATATCTTCAAACTAACAAAATGTAAAGTTATCAGGGAGGAAAATCCGTCTGGATAACAGCAGACTGACTGCTCGTAAAATATACGACAGGTCTGGACCACWCRTRAATTTTGTTCRTATCTGAAAAAAATCTTAGAATACGAAAACATTGGTGAATGCCACAAATTCTCCTAAATCACTCGTACGCACAACTTAAAAACAAATCTGTGCGTACGAACGGTTCTTGCATGAGGCCCATTCTTCAGATATTCACACAAGCATTCAACACTCATGGCTTCAGATACACGCCCCCCTAAACTCACGTACTCCTCTGGCTAATAAATCTGCTCTATGCAGAGGATTTTTTTATAAACACCATAGTGTGTCACAGTGTTGATATAATATGATGTTTTGTTTTGTTTTCCTCATCTTCCCTTGTGTGGTTTTTAGTTTTTCTGTTAAGGGTTGTGCCGCCTCATGATGTCTTCATGAAGATGATCCTTGCTCTGTGCAGGGGTCAGTGGCTGCATGACCCAGGGCACCTGTTCTCCCATGTTTGTTCTGTCTTCTTCTGAATGGGTGTTCTGAACTGCAATTTCATTGTGCTCTGTACAATGACAATAAAGCTCTCTTGAAAATGTTTGACCTTTTCATTCCTTGACAGTGAAGAGCTTGAGAGACGAACAAAGGAAACAGAAAAACTGCAAGAGGAGGTTGAAGATGCAACCAGGGAGGCTCTGAAGAGATTCAGCTGCACTTAYGAAGGAAAATCAGGACAAAGCTGCAGCAATCGTAGGTTTAAAGCTGGCGTAATTAATCTGTGTGACACTTCTTGTTTATTCTTTCACTAAAAGTGGTATGTCACTTTACACAACATCTAAAATATAGTGACTAAGACTACTGAACTGTTGAAATATTACTTTCTGCACTAGAAAAGAGACTAGAGACTCAGCTTTTTTTAATGAGACATTTTTACCAACCTGAGCATTAACGACAAACACAGGATATATCGTAAACACAATATGCTCTTTTGGCAGATGACTCATCTGAAGAGTCCCCCATGTTTTCGGCCCACCAGCGGGCAGTGACTCAGCCTCTGGGTTGCAGTCTGGATACTTTAAAACAGAAGGTGGTCCAGAAAGAGAGATCATCTGAAAAAGTAACTGTCTTTTTTGCAACTCAACATGGTTCATGCTTTCATTACAACCATAAAACTTCTTTGGTGTTAATTTAATTAAAACTTTTCCCTAAATAATCCATTATTTCACCGTTTCAAAGACAAACGATCAACCTGAGCAAGATACATTTAGTCATCAAAGTGCCGTCATGAACTTGCAGACTAAGCTGCATGAACTCCAGGATGACCTGTCTGACCTGAGGTGAGACGTTAATTTATTCCTCCACAAAAGCTTTCATAAAGAACTTTGACTCACATTTTTTTTTTTTTTACTTTTAGGTTGAAGGATTCAAGGAAGCACACGGATCAAATGGGAAAGATGTTGTCCATCCTGGATGAGCTTCAGAACATTAAAAGGTCTGCGGACCAGAAGCTCCAAGAATCTGAGGATGAGGCGTTGGAACTTCACAGGAAGGTAGAATCACTAGAACGGTTCGTAAAGGAGATTTACCAAACACTGTGTGAGAAGCAGTGTGGGGACACCCCCATCAGCTCTCATACTGGGAAAAGTCAAGCAGTTCATGTAAACAAAGATCTCAAAACGAACACAAACAAGCTGCAGACAAGACGATTTTCGGTGAGTAGTAATATTTATGTTCAGATAAATTGAGTGCATATCCTAAAATCATAACTTGAAATTGAATCTCTTTTGTAATAGTCAAAAGAACAACAGAGGACTGATGAAAATAATGAAGTATATCAGCAAGAAAGGTAATTGCCAATAAGACTGATATTAGAGTTGATCATGATCATAAACAAAATACTAATGACAAAAATAGATCTAGTATTCACGGCTAATTAAATTCTTTTAATGAGAAAAAGATTAGGTTGCATAAAATTTAAAAGCCACTTGCTAAACCTTATTGTCAGAACAAACAAAATGAACACAGCAAGCATAAAAGCACTGTGTTTTGATCATGACAGTCTTCACGATCGTCCCAGCTTAGAAGACCTGATTACAAGTCTTGTCCAGGAGATGGCGACGTTGACCGACAAACTGAGTTCATCAAAGGACAGCGGAGCCAGCCTCTGTGACAAGCTGGGGTTGCTAAAGTTGGTGAATTATTTAAAATATTTCTTATAGTTTTGTTTGTTAGTGTTGTTATTCTGAGGGGAAGAACATCATAAATATTGTGAATATTCTAGAAAATGTATTTGTAATTACAGAAAACTGGCAGAGAGACAAACCACACAGCACCTCCATCACGTCAGTGCACTCGAGTCAGCCATCTCCAGCTACAAAGAAAAGGTAAAAATAATAATGTCTCAGCACCAGTTAATTAAAGCACTTTTTTTACTCTAATACAGTGTTATTATAGACATTTGGATCCACTTTACTTGATGTAAAGCTCAGTAAAATAAAGCGACTCTCAGATCACCGCTTGAGTTATTAAAAAAACTTTACTTGGTTTGTGGTTCTTATTTGATGTGTTGAAGGTTTGTTGTCTGGAGCAGACGATCCTCGAAGCTCAGACTCAACTCTTTAACACTCAGAAAGAAAGAGAGCAATCACTACAAGAGGCAGAAGACCTCCAGTCCCACCTCTGTCAGCTCAAGGTACTGCAGGGAATCCTAAATGGGTCTCTTGTGAAACATCTGCAAGTAGGTTGTTGCTTTATTAAATTAAGGAAGAGTGGTTATAAAACTGAAGCATCAGGTTTAGTTTAGAGGGATTTCTCAAATGCTTAAAGTAAAAAGCAAGAGTTAAACTGTTGATTTACTGTGAGGTTTGATATATGAATCAATGTAGCCTGCTATGATTACACAGCTGTTGTTGATTAACACACAAAAAAACACAATCAGGTGTAGTGTCCGTTCAGTCGGGGTACATTTAGCCTCCACTGTGAAGCATCAGCTGATCTCAGTGTCAACCAACTAATCAGCTGTTTTCCTCAAATCTAAGACATTTAATTTAAACTAACCCAGCCTGCTGCCGTCTACTGTAAACAGTTTTACAACCCACCTCCATGTTTGCTGATCCTTCTCCGTCTGCGTTTGATTAAATCAGCGTCTTTTCTGACATTGATTTGGCTCTTTCCTGTACTTTGGGCTGTTTTCTTTTTCCTGACTCAGGCCTTTCTGTGTTTGTTTGTGAAATGACTGAGGTTCCAGAGCAGAGCCACGCCACACAATAAGTAAACAAACTGTGACTCTGTAATGATTTGGTCAGACACAGGTAGGCGTTTCCTAAAGCAGTGGTTCCCAACCTTTTTTAGACTTGTGTACCCCCTCTGCCAAACGTAATGATAATTCTCTGAAACTATAATTTACTACAACTGATTATTAAGTTAATTATTTATTTAACTCCCTAAAACGTTTAATTCTCAGGCATTTTATTCTTTTCAAATCAAATTAAACATAAAGATTAAAATGTTGCCTTGAAAGTGAATAAGTAATTACATAAATAAACAAGGTAACGACAGGTGCAGGAAGCATCAGCGTCCAAAATCTATTGTATTTTCCAAAATACATCAAAAACTCGACCAAATGAGCAAATTTCAAGAGATTCCGCATTTTATATTGGATTCCATTTTGTGTCAAATTCCGTGATTTCGTCTGCATTTTCTGCATTGCTGAAATCATAGGGCCCTACATATTCTAGTCCTATTTTATTAATTTTTTTACACATCTGGGAAATTTTTCCACGTACCCCCTGTAATATGCTTGTGTACCCCAAAGGGTACACGTACCCCTTGTTGGGAATCACTGTCCTAAAGTGTTCTTTCAATTATGCGCTTCTTTTTAAATTTTGTGCCAAAAAAAAAAAAAACCCAGAATGGTCTGACGGAAAGTAAACCACAATAAAACAAACTAAATACAACATTTAACAAACAAAAACAAAATTGTTAATTTGCAAGCCAAATATTGATATAACATGTTGAGTTACTTTTAATTTGTTTTTGCACATTATTTTTTCTTGATTTGCTGTGAGCAGCAGCAGCTTCAGCTCAGTGTAGACCCAAAGGTTCTGAACGCRCAGCTGGAGGTAGCCAGGGAGCAGCTTTGCAAAGCTGTAGAGGAGAAAACCTGCCTCCAGACCCTGCTGGAGCAGAAAGCCCAGGAGGTGAGGAAATCTCAAGAATCCTRTTGAAAAGCAGGAGGAACTTCTCTTCAGGCAGATAATAAAACCTGGAAAAAAAAATAAAGTATTTTTTTCTCCCGGGTCATGGTGATGATCACCCTCTCCTCYCAGCACCTCGTTAGTTTAAAAGACGCTCAGAGTCGGCACCAGACGCTGTGGGCTGATCAGGAAACGCTGAGGATGAAGCTGAGCGACAGAGAGAAGGCGATCGACGCTCTGAGGCTGCAGATGGAGAGCAGTGTCCAGACGACAGAGCAGCACAGACGCACGATCGACAGCCTCCAGCAGGAGAACGGCCTCCTCATTAACCAGCTCAACCAGCACAAGCTGGAGGTGCAGCAGCTGAGGGTCAGACAATAAAAAAGAAAATCATTGTCTGTTTCCCGTTCGCTCTGTCTGATTCAGTTTCTCGTTTTATTTTTCCAATCAGGCCGAGTTGGCCCAACGCCGGTCTGACCTGACTGCTGTGGAACACGAGAGGCGACGGCTGAAGGCCTCTGTGTCTGAGCGGAGTCAGCGCATCAGAGAGGAGACGCTGGAGAAAGAGGAAGTCGCCGCACAGCTGGAGCTGCAGCGCGTGCAGCTGCTCAGTCTTACCAGTGAGATCAATACGGATCATCAGTGTTTTTTAAGATGCGGCGTCCCTGGAACAAGAATGAAATCTGGTTGTTTTCGTCCAGATTCTGATGAAATATTCATCAAACCTGTGTTTAAAATCACTGTTAGAGGCCAAACGTCAGTACGTTTAATTCCAGGTTTATTCCCACACTTCACAGGTTCTCAAGCCATTTGGGTCTGGGGACCCCTTACAAGGGCGAAAAAATTCCAGTTTGTTATGTTTATTTTATTAATTCATTGTTTTCCATGCATTTTTAAAAATTAAAACCAAATTAACAGTTTAGTGAAATTTTTTGAGGACCCCCAAGATACCTCTAACAGATCGCTGGGGGTCCTGGGACCCCAGTTTGAGAACCTCTGCCATACATAACCTTTAATTCCCATGGAAATTCCTGTCATTCTATGTTGAGTTTCAAAAAGCTTGTAGGATTACAAAGTTAATACTGCAAAMGTTTGAGAAAATAGATTTGTAACAAATTATGATCTTTGTTATGGCAAATATTTATTTAACAAAGACAGAAATACGTGGTCCAAGAATGAAGGTACTCCATGGGATGATCAGCTG